CAGGACCAATCACCACCCATATCCATGCACCAAAGTGGCAACACAGAAACTGAATTAGCCCCTAATAGTCAGGACCAATTCCATGTTCCTGACCTCACCAATTCCTCTGAGCACCAGGATTATGTATATTCAATCCCAAATTTCCAAACCTGCACATCTAACCAAAGTCAAAAGACACAGTCTACTTCCTTCACTGCCTCTTTGCCAGATAAACAACACTTTTCCTTTCATGCCTTGATTCCTGAAAGTCAACAGATGGTAAGAAGTATTTCACATGAGTGTGAACCTTGTTCATATGAAGAAGCAGTCATCAATCCTGCCTGGCAAGCAGCAATGACTCAAGAATTCCAGGCACTATATACAAATCATACATGGGACCTAGTTCCTCTCCCTGATGGAAAGAAGGTTATAGGATGCAAATGGGTGTATAAAATCAAGCACAAGGCAGATGGAAGCATTGAGAGATTCAAAGCTAGGCTGGTTGTCAAAGGATATACTCAACAAGCTGGAATAGACTATACAGAAACCTTCTCACCAGTGGTAAAGATGACCACTGTAAGAGCTCTTATAGGGACAGCAGTCAAGAAGGGTTGGAAAATGTTCCAACTAGATGTGAATAATGCTTTTATTCATGGAGACCTACATAAGGAAGTCTATGTGGAGGTACCACCTGGTTTAGTCATAGAGAGACTAGGCTTAGTGTGCCGGTTGAACAAGTCTCTATATGGTTTAAAGCAAGCTAGTAGACAGTGGTATGAAAAGCTTGCAGAATCACTGTATTCCAGGGGCTATACTCACTTGTTATTGGACTATTCCTTGTTTCATAAGAAAAAGGACAACACAATGGTGTTTGTGGCAGTATATGTAGATGATGTCATACTCACAGGAAATGACCTTGATGAGATCAATTCTCTGAAGAAGTTCTTAGACCAAACTTTCAAGATCAAGGACTTGGGGATTTTGCATTACTTCTTAGGGCTGGAAGTGTTTTATAAAGAGAATGGGGTGTTGATCTCTCAGAGAAAGTTCACTGTGGATCTGCTGAGGGAGTATGACTGCTTGCAACAATCTCCACTATCATCTCCTCTTGACCCTTCATTCAAGTGAAAATCTGACCAAGGTGTTTTGTTGGAGGATCCCACTCAATACAGAAAGCTAGTGGGGAAACTGAATTTTCTCACCAACACCAGGCTTGATATAGCCTTCAGTGTGCAACATCTTAGCCAATACATGCAGTGTCCCAGGGATACTCTCTTAAAGGCTGCACATCATGTGTTGAGGTACTTGAGAGGTGATCCAAATCTGGGAATATTTCTATCTAACAACATAGATTACAGTATCAATGCTTTTTGTGATTCAGATTGGGCTGCTTGCTCAGAATCCAGAAAATCTGTTAGTGGTTACTTAATTCTACTTGGTGGAGGCCCAGTTAGTTAGAAGTCAAAGAAGCAGTCCACCATAGCCTTGTCCTCAGCTGAAGCAGAGTACAGATCAGTTAGAGCAGTGGTTGGTGAACTTGTGTGGTTAGTCAGACTACTTGAAGAGTTATCAGTCCCACTATCTCTCTTAATTCCAGTCTTTTGTGACAGCCAGGCAGCCCTGCACATAGCTAAGAATCCAGTTTTCCATGAATGTACCAAACATATAGAAGTCGACAGTCATTTTGTGTGAGACAAGCTTCTGGAAGGACTGATCTAATTACACTATATTCCTACGTCTGACCAGCTGGCTGACATTTTCACCAAGACCCTCACAGGGATCAAGCATTCCAAGTTACTTGACAAGCTGGGTGTGAGTTCCTCCCTTCCAACGTGAGGGGAAATTGAAATGAATTGAATTGATTCTTAGATTATGGGATGAATTGTGAGCATCACTTCAACTCGAAAATCCATCTAGTTGGGGGCTAAAAAGCCCTACCATGACCTACTCCCTATACTTAAAAAATATAAGTCACCGTAAGAATCCAAACAAGATATGCCTTTGGACCCCGGGGCATATGATCTTTCTGTAAAAATTACACGGAGCACCCTATTTGATCGCCCCCATTTAACCAATACCTATTTTTTTTTAATAGTTTTAATTTGTACCCACTTTTTAAACAACTTCAGCCCCCTTTCTCCTCTTCCTTTTCCTCCTTCGTTTTCTTCTTCTTCTTTCTTCTGCTGTTGTTGGTGCTGCTATAAAACTTCAGTTCTGGGATGATTGCCATAAGTATGTTTATCAGATTATTTAAAAATAAATTATAAATAATTACGTAAGTTAGTAGACAATAATTTGTGAATATTTCCACGTAATTATGTTCTTTTCACGTTTATTGTTTCCAAAATTTATGATTTAGATATTGTTGGCAATCTGATTATTTTATAGTAGTAATACACTATGAAAGAATAAGGTGATTATTTATCTAGTATGTTAGAAAGCTTTTTCAAAAACTTCAGCTTATATAGTGCTGAAGTTTTTACAAATGAACTAAATAACTTCAGCATCTTCTGCTGAAGTTTTTGAAAAAGCTTTATGACAAAACTAATGAATCCAGGACAAAAAAACTTCAGCTTATTTAGTGCTGAAGTTTTTACAAATGAACTAAATAACTTCAGCATCTTCTGCTGAAACTTTTGAAAAAGCTTTATGACAAAACTAATGAATCCAGGACAAAAACACTTTAGCTATTTTAGTGCTGAAGTTTTTACAAATGAACTAAATAACTTCAGCATCTTTTGCTGAAGTTTCTGAAAAAGTTTTATGACAAAACTAATGAATCCAGGACAAAAAAACTTCAGCTATTTTAGTGCTGAAGTTTTTACAAATGAACTAAATAACTTCAGCATCTTCTGCTGAAGTTTTTGAAAAAGTTTTATGACAAACTAATGAATCCAGGACAAAAAAACTTCAGCATATTTTAGTGCTGAAGTTTTTACAAATGAACTAAATAACTTCAGCATCTTATCCAGGACAAAAAGACTTCAGCGTATTGCCTTTGCTACTTCAGGCCCGTCTACTAGAATGCTGAAGTTTTGCGTGAATGCCTTTGCTACTTCAGCCCCGTATGCTGAAGTTACGCGAAAAAGTGGGTACGCTTGATTTTTTTTTTTGCAAAGCGGGCATAAATTAAAACGTGACCCAAAAAACGGGTATAGATGCAAATCCGCATGATGCAAATCCGCATAAATCAAATAATTTTTTTCGTTTTAATTTATTTGAGCCTTTTTCAAGTACGAGGGTCAAATTGACAATTTTTTGCGTAAATATGGACATAGATTCTTTAAGTTCTTTGAAATAAAATTTAAGAGTATATAAAAAGTATTATAAATCACAATAATTAGCAATTCAAAATATCTAAACACTTTGTGCAAGAAATATGATCAAAAATATCTTGTTGGACTTTCCAGATAGTACTTAATAATTTCGTTCTTTTTGAAAGAGATGGAGTATGTTTTAAGGCCCCTCATATATTAATTTGAATATCACCTTTGACTACTCAAAAACTCCTTATTGTGATCCTTTCCACCAACCACTTTTCTTCCTTCCTAGATCCCTACTCGCACCCAAAGACAAAGCAGTGAACTTCTTCGCACATAAATATTAAAGAGAGCAACAGGAAGGATAAGATCAATTATGTTTTACTAGAAATTTTAAGCTAAGGAGAATTAAGAAACTTTTATTAAGGAGCGATTTTTCCTTTTGTACATGGATCAGAATGCAAATCCATGATTATTTGATCGAAAGTAGTTCGAATCTCCAACATAAAAGAAAAAGAAGATTTTCCTAATTTTGCCTTACATCGGTTGAAGAGACACGTAATAAACTTATTACGTGATGTTTAGGGAAAGAAAAGTACTGTTATTGCATACAGCTTTTCTATATGCAAGTAATCAATCATGATTTCCGCTTGAAAAAGTAAACAGACAATCATGTGTCTGAATAGTAGTAAATGATAATGCTTATGTAATCCAGACCAGACAGCTATATACCCAACCCTACAACTAAATTAATGAAAAGCCTGAACGACCCTTCAACCCATACTTTTAGGTTGTTGAATCTCAATCACTCTAATAATTATTCGTTAGACTTTATCAAGCCAAAAACAAACAAAAAATTTCCCTTTCAACAAAATAAAGATTACTGCATTCATTAGAGATCAAGAACGATATCAAACCACCCACTTAGAGCCACAAGAGGTAATGACACGACACTAATCTTTCGTCACCTTTTAATAATTACTTATTTTCATTCGACTGCTTCCCTTAAAAGGAAAGTCATACCTTTAGGCGTTAAGTCACAACTAAACAAAGTTTGATTTTCTTCTTAACAATGATTAGACTTTGTTAATGGATAACGTTATCTTTTAATTTTTCTAAAGAGAGCCAACCAAACCATACTTTACCCGTAACCCAAAATTGCTTAGAAATTTAACTTCGATATCATCATGCATGGAGATTACGCCTATTAAATTCCTACCACAAAAGTATTCTGCACATTTAAGTAATCAAGTGGTTAAATGAGGAAATTTTCACCTTTTTCGATGACCCTAAATTTTTTTCTGCTTTCGAAAAAGAAAACTAAGCGAGATATCCTATCTTTGTCAGGATTAACATGTCATGGTGACCTAACACAAAATAGACATCACACAATTTAATTAATAGAAAAGAAAAGGTCTAAAAATATCTAAAATAATCAAACACTAATCACGGACTTATAAGTATTGTTAATTTAATAAAAAGAACAAAATAGAATATAAAGTAAAGCAACCTACTGCAAGCGCATTAAAATAATATTCGTAACCGCCCCATTGCATGTATGCCACTTTGTGCTTCTTTATCTCAGACAAGAATCAAAATAAACACCACCCCCCCCCAAAGACCCCCCACCTCGAACCCGTCGCACCACTCAAGCTTTCTTCTCTGTTTAATTTTCCATGGTTATAGGTGCTAAATACGTGCAAAAGTGTAAGAATTTGAAGCAAACTATTACACGCAGAAAAAATATAACTAGAAATTATGAAGCCCAAATTAGTAAAGGTAAAACACTTATGTCAATCAACAAAGACATAATTAGTGTAGTTTACAGTGGGCATGAAGGAAAAGGAAATAAACAAATTAAATTGCTCATTGGAACAATATCTCTCCATCGTTATCATCATCAAGTTCTTAACGCTAATTTTTACGAACAGAGGAAAGAAAAAACTAATAGGAGTAACATAAACTAATAGTAGCAGCCTGAAATTTCCTTTGCTTCTCATTCTAGAACTAATACTTAACATAAGCCTTATTTTATCCACCAATTAATTCGAAGATTAAGATGAAGAAGAAGATCCATTAGTGGTAACACCATGAACACTAACACTATCGTTGTTATGAAGTTGGTGGGTATGGTCTTTGTCATTGTCATTGCTGCTTTGATGGTGAAGATGTAACTCAGAAGCAATAGTGTCAGTGTTATTTCTACTAATAAAACCAAAACCGTTAGCATTATTACCATTGAGGTTGTTGGTGGAAGCGACGGCGTTAACAGCGGCAGCGGCGGTGGCTTGATCTTTCTTGCACTTGTTATTGTGCATCCATACCTTAAGAACCCCTTTTTCAACTCCGATTTTGCTGCAGAAGTCGTTAATCAGCTCTTCATCTCGTTTCTGTATTTTCCACTCAACTTTCTCGGCGAATTCCAGCATTCTCTCCTTCTGATCTTGCGTGAATTTAGTTCTGAATCGCTTTCTCCCACTCCCATTAGGGTTTGTTAAATGAACAGATGACATTGGGTTTGAAGATGGGGAAATTAGCGGATTATTCTCAGCAGGTGGGCCAGACAATCCAGCACTGAGAGCAAGGAGCATGTGGGGTGCAGAGGCGGGGTAATAAGCAGAGGAGATCGGAGGTGGAGATGGGGAATTAGGGCTACTGTGGCCTCCACTTCCACCATGATGCGGCGGCGGTGGTGGAGGAGGGTGGTGGCGATGGTGAGGTTGGTACTCTAACGCCGGAATAGGGTTCTGATTCGGGAGTACTGGCTCTTCCGGCTCGCGGCGGTGAAAATTGCGGTGACAGCCACAAGCAGCGCATTTAAGCGAAGTAGGGTCCACCGGATTAGCAGTGGGAGAGGGCATAAATTCCCCACAACCGTCAACGGCGTGACCACCTAAGCTGGCAGCGTGATTTTTCAAACATTCCTTGTAAGTAACAACCACCGCGTGGTGGTGGTGGTTGTTGTTAAAACCATGGTGGTGGGGAAGATGAAGAGAATTATGGCGTTTGAGGACACCGTTGCTAAAAGAAATGGGCTTAGCGGGTTGGATCCGAATTGGGGTTTCGGGTTCAGCTTCAGTGCTTTTGACAGTAGCGGCTATGGCAGTGGTTGTGTTGCTGCTTATGTCCATTTCTCAAACATCTAGTTAGCTTTAGTGCTTTTGCATATTTCTTGAGATTTAAGAGTTGAATATTGTTGTTAGACTTTGGTCTAAAATTTCATGCAAAAAGGAAGAAGGATAGTAGTAGAGCTTTTTGTAGAGAGAATAATGAGAAAGAGATGAAAAAAGGAAGGAAAGTTTTGTGTTTAGTGTTTTGTGTTTTGTATTTTTGGTTATGGGTTGATGAAGATGATGATGACTGTAGATAATGTAAGAATCTATAGGTTTGTGGTCGTCCTTGTTAACCACTTGTGTATATTTTGACCTTGGTTCTAATCTAATCTATGGTTAACCTGCAGCTGCTGCTATTGACCCCACCCCCACTTGCTCGTTAAGACGTTATGTCATGTGTGTAATAAATACCATTTCCCCCTAAATATACCTTTGTCGCCTTTAAATCTTGGAAACTACTTCACCAATCTTCTTGCTTAAGCTGAAATGAAGTGAAATGATTGTTACTATAATATATAACTAGTTGCTTTGGTGCAATAATTTTCATATATTCAGACTCTATATTTGAAAAAAATGATCTAATTTATGTTTGGTTTAGCGCTGAATAAATTAGCTCACGTTTGGCCAGAGATCTGGCTTTATTTTTTTTAAAACATTGTTTGTTTATGAAATATGTTATGTTTTACGAAAAGTTTTCAAAAACTGATTTATGACAGTTTTTGCTTTCACTAACAAAACTTCAAATTTTCAAATAAAATATATGTTTAGACACTTTATGAAATATGTTATGTTTTACGAAAAGTTTTCAAAAACTGATTTATGACAGTTTTTGCTTTCACTAACAAAACTTCAAATTTCAAATAAAATACATGTTTAGACACAATTTTAACTTTCAAAAATTATTTTTTAACACAACTTCAATTTTTTTTTCAAATTTCAACAGAAACTATGTCAAACGCTTGCTAAGTGTAATCTACCTAATTAAGATAAATGAGAAGTTATAAGCAAATTTAGACGGAGGAAATATACTGCATGCATTACCTCACTGTTTAATCATACAAGCTGGACCTTCCATTGACTTTGATACAGAAAACCTACAACTAGCTATCAGTATTGTTTTGACTAAGCTGATAGTAGTACTCATTCCTTTGATTTCCTCTGTTTTTTTTTTTTTTGGGGGGGGGGGGGGGGGGGGGTGTATTTTTTCCGTGGAGGAAAGGGAGAAGTCGGCAGTAAACCAAATAATTTACCTTAAGATTGTTGGTTAGAACAAAGTCTGAAATGTCATTAATGGTCAGATAGCATTGGACCCCTGAAAGGTGTTACATTCCGTCAATTAATCTTTTCAATAGGTGGCACTGTCCTTCAGAATTGACCAGATTAATGGTGCTACTTCCGTTTAAATAACCAGCTTATTCCTTAATTGATTTAGATCATCAGAGATTGTGTGGATCATTTAATTTCCCCGTTGGTTAACCAGCTAGTCCCAATCTAGATTTTGACTAATAGTAGGAGATTATGTTTGAAAAGATAGAAATATTTTCTTGCGATTTAAGTACTATAGTATATTTTGATCATAGAAATGACTAAAGCAGGGGTTGCAGGTCTAATGCATTTACTGAACCCACCCTTATTTTGTCAAAGTTGCCAGTTGGAGAAGCAGAGCATGACATGAAGATAGCTTGTTCCATCTCCAAACATCACCACCAAAGGACATAGCTAGCATTTCCACATAGATTTGGCTAAAAAAAGTTTTAAAATTTTTTGAAATTGTATTGTAAAATTGTTTTTAGACATTGAAATTGTACTTGGACATATATTAAAAGTTAAATTTTTGCGAATGAAACAAAATATTTCCACCCAAAACTAACCCTAATCAGTTTTGAAACTTGAAATTTTTTCTTCAATTTTGTTTCAAGAACTAATCAAATTTTATGAATAAATAATTTTTTTGGGGGAAAAAGTAAAAAAGAAATCTATGTTATTACTGGAAGCAAGACGTTTATTAGCATCGTAAGTTTGCCATATCATCGAATTAAAAGCATTCTTGTCATCTAGACAGGTTATATGGTGAAATGGTATAAAAAATTTATCTCTGATTTTGAAATCTTAAAATTAGATCTTCCTAAGTAAATAAAAAATGTTAGTGGACGTTTTGGACATAAGTATTGTAAAATTTTGGGGAAAAAGTAAAAATAAATTTTTAGTGAAAACAATATGTGAAAATTAGGTTGTGTTTGGACATGAGTACAATTTGGAGCGAAAATTTTAAAAATTACCTTTTTGGAGTTTTTTATATTTTCAAAAAATTTCAAAATTTAACTTTAAGTGAAATTTAAAATTTTCATGGACAAACACTAAATCCGAAAAAAGTAAAAAAAAATCGAAAAAAAATGAAAAAAATTATTATGGCCAAACGGGCCCTTAAACTTTACTGTAGTGAAGTTTTAGGTGGACTCAAATTAATGGAATCAATAGATTTGACGTTTAAAGAAAAAAATTGCATTTTTGTCGTAAAAATTGCCGGGGCGCTCTATTTGGTCGCCCTCATTTAACCTATACCTATTTTCTTAAAAAGTTTTAACTTGTACCCACTTTTTAAACAATTTCAGCCCCCTTTCTCCTCCCCCTTCTCCTTCTTCTTCTTCTTCTTCTTCTTCTTCTTCTTCTTCTTCTTTCTTCTGCTGCTGTTGGTGCTGCTATGAAACTTCAGTTCATGGGATGATTGTCATAACTATGTTTATCAGATTATTTAAAAATAAATTATAAATAATTACGTAAGTTAGTAGACAATAATTTGTGAATATTTTCACGTACGGGAAGTTTAAGGTCACATTTAGTGATTCTTTTCATGATAATTCTGTTCTTTTCACGTTTATTGTTTCCAAAATTTATGATTTAGATATTGTTGGCAATCTGATTATTTATCTAGTATGTTAGAAAGCTTTTTCAAAAAATTCAGCTTATATAGTGCTGAAGTTTTTACAAATGAACTAAATAACTTCAGCATCTTCTGCTGAAGTTTTTAAAAAAGCTTTATGACAAAACTAATGAATCCAGGACAAAAAAAACTTCAGCTTATTTAGTGCTGAAGTTTTTATAAATGAACTAAATAACTTCAGCATCTTCTGCTGAAGTTTTTGAAAAAGCTTAATGACAAAACTAATGAATCCAGAACAAAAAAAATTCAGCTTATTTAGTGCTGAAATTCAGCTACTATGCTTAAGTTCAGCAATTATAAACAAAACCTTCAGCAAATAGAGAACAAAATTTCAGCTACTATGCTTAAGTTCAGCAATTACAAACAAAAACTTTAGCACAGCTGGTTTAGCAATTTTTGCTAATTCAGGCCCGTCTACTAGAATGCTGAAGTTTTGCGTGATTGTCTTTGCTACTTCAGCCCCGTATGCTGAAGTTATGCGAAAAAGTAGGTACGCTTGCAATTTTTTTTAGAAAACGGGCACAAATTAAAACGTGATCCAAAAAGCGGGTATAGATGCAAATGCCCCATTTTTGTCAGGGGTTGAATAGTGGAACAGGACGTTTGTCCGAGAAAGAAACAATATTTTAAAACTCATACGACAACGTTTAGTTGCAATGCTGTAGGAACAGACAGAGAGTACAAGCCAAGCTTACGTAACAGAAACGTACATGCCTCAACCTTAGCCTTTTTGCTTTTGGTGTTTAGTGCATGTAACACGAGTACTTACCTATTAAATAAACTCAATTAATTCCTCTAAAGCATGCTCAAATTCTAGCCACGTGTACTTAACTTTGCTTTGCGGCGACACGTGGACGTACTTGTTTAACGTAAAAACCTGCCACGTACAAATTTACATCTTTCGCTCAAAAGCACAAGTATGATTACGTATTTACCTTCCAATATCATATATGAAACCTTATTACCCTCAATGTTTAAGGTTTGTGTTAATTATATTTCAGCATACCAAATTACCATTTATATTACCATAATTTAAATTAGGAATATAATTAAGGGTGCATTTATATTAGGCGCTAATTTAGGACCGTATCTTCCCACATTTACCTTTACCCGTCTCTCCTCCCCCCCCCCCCTTTTGGTAGATGGACAGTAGCATCAATAATCTTCAGATTAGTTCTCATTTACTTCCCCAAAAACCTTAACTTAGCGACTGTATCTTCAGATTAGTTCTTATTTACCAATTCTCTATTTACATGTACAAAACATCAATGTATCGTTATTTTCATTGACCTCTTTTTTTTTTTTTTTTTTTTGGGCAGTGGCTGAAGGTTACTGGTTAATACAGTCGATTGAAACTCGAAAAAGAAGAAGAAGACATATTTCCAGAAATTGTAGATAAATTGTAGAAAAATTAAAAAAATTGTAGATAAATTGTAGACTGTTTTTTGCAGAAGATTTTGTAGAAGCTTTAGTCGTTTTGGATTTGTGAAAACATAAAATAATGCATCTACAATCAGAATACAAATAATCTACAAGATATCTACAAAATGGATACATTGGATTTTAATATCCCAATTCCCATTTCAATTGTAGCATAATTGGCATTTTCGACATAATTGTAGAAGATTTGTAGAAGTTTTAGTCTTCCCAATCTACAATTTATCTACAATTCTACAATTTAACTACAATTTATCTACAATTTCTGGAAATATGTCTTCTTCTTCTTCTTCTTCTTCTTCGAGTTTCAATCTGAAATTCAGTCAAAACCAAGTCTAATCTTCACCAAAACCCCTCAAAATTGAGATATAAACTCCTAAACATNTGAACACGGTGTTTATTGGAGGATTTCTAGTTGTTGTGAATAACATGTGAACGGTAATAGGATCATTTGATTCCTGGAGCATTGGCTCGAATTGTGATACGAATATTGGAAGTATACGAAATGACTTGATTCTTTGGAGCGTTGGCTCAAAATAGTAAAGTGAATTATAAGATAAGGAAAGTAAGAAAGAGAAAGCGTTGTTGATTATTCCCTTGTCGGGACGTTTGGTTGAACTTGTTGGATTCTTTCCCTTGCCGGGATGGTTGTCAAATATTTGCTTATTTTATGCCCCTTAATTGTGACTGTTGTTTGGGAAGTTAGACTGTTAAATGATATTGAGGATCGGGTTGCGCGCCGCAACAATGATGTTGAGGATCGGGTTGCGCGCCGCAACAATAATATATGAGGATCGGATTGCGCGCCGCAACAATGATATATGATAAGTGATATGGGTCGGGTTGCACGCCGCAACAATGATATTGTGGAGCGGGTTGCACGCCGCAACAATGGTAATTATGGAGCGGGTTGCACGCC